TAGCCTGGACTCCCTGTAGTAGAAATTACATTTATCATTTAACATTTTAACTTTGGTTTTAGTGAGGGCAGGTCGTGGTTCTACCCAACATGTTTGGTGAAGTCTTTTGTCAGATCATCAGTTCAAGTTTTTGGCTGAGACAGTGCTAAGACCAGACTTTTTATTCTGTCGGTGAACTGGCTGGGTTCTTATATTTGTTGAGTGCTTTTTTAAAGAAAAATTATTCCTCAGTGAGCTACAAATCTATTTATCAGAAAATTCAGTTCATCTTTCTCCTCATCACTAATGTGACTTTGTCAATTTTTTTTTGTGTGTATGCTGTTTTTGACCTGTCATTAAACTTGTTTATTAAATAAATGGGATCTAATGCTCCCTTGTGTTCCTAAGTGATTGAATACTTGCTGTTGGTAGTATGGATCTTTCAAACTGTTTACAAACTGTGTGGTGTGAGGCTGGATTTCATGTAGAATGAGTATTGGGGTGGGGGTGACTATAGACCTGGAATTCAACACCCATATTTCACAGATGAAAAACTTAAGACCACAAAAGCGTAAGAGAGAATGCTCAGGGTCACAAACTACATACTTGGAAGAACTTGAGGCCTGTGCACTTGACTCGGCACATCAATGACATCTAGTGGTCAGTTATTTACACATGGATTGTACATCATTGATACCAGAGTGGCATTTAAAAGTTGTTTTGAATTAAGTGTAAATACCATGTAAAGGATCTGTTTTAATTTGCCTGTCTGGAAGGGAAGAATTGAGTTCCCTTAGAGGACTGTGCTGCACTTTGAAGGAATGCCAGTAGAGGGTGCCAAGGGCTTGCCTACTTTGGCGCTTGATTTTTGTTTGACTTTTTTTCCCTTGAGTTTTGTCACCAATCAAAACACTGTCTGTCATTTGGACAGTATTCTTTGAGTTGTTTGGTACAGTCTTCTCAACGTCCTGAGACACATAGTAGTTCTCACATATTTGCTAAATTATATTTATTGCTGTAAATTTTGTAATGCTCTTTGGAAATAGAAAGCTTGAAGATGAATATGATGGTGTCTCAGTGTCTGAGAAAATGGATGAATCTGAACTATTGGCTCACAAATCTGCTGTGTTCTGGGACTTGGGAGATCACTCAGTGGGTAAAGTGCTTGCTGTGGTCCTGAATGAGAATCCTCTCAGCATTCACATAAAAATGCATGCACGCGCACATACCCTCAACAGTAATAACAGAGCCTCTACTGTTTGTTTTTTTTTTTTTTGAGGAAACACTTCATTACTTCATTGTGTAGCCCAGGCTGACCTCAAACTAACAATCTTCCTGCTTCTCCTGAGTGCTTGGATTACAAGTGTGTGCCACTCTGCACAGCCAAATTTTATCCTTTTGAAGTTCTGATATTTACACAGTCCTCTAGTCATCATCGACTAGCTTAGTATTCTTCATCTTTGGTCAGCTAATATTAGTCTTTGGTTTTCCAGCAAAATATTAGTGTTAAAACTTTCTTTTCCTCTGAATTTTTCTGATTTCTAATACTTCTAAAAGCTGTAAATTAGACTCTGGGGACTGAGTAAATTGCTCAGTTAGTAAAGTGCTTCTCACGCAGGCACGAGGACCTGAGTTCATCCCAGCACCCATGCTTAAAATAAGTAAATAGGAGCTGGAGAGAGGGCTCAGTAGTGAAGAGCACTGGCTGCTCTTTCAGAGGAACCAGGTTCACTTCCCAGCACCCGCATGATGGCTAACAACGATTTATAACTCCAGTTCCAGAGGGCCTGGTGCCCTCTTCTTGCCTCTGCAGGCACTGCACACAGAAGAGCACTTGCTTACATGCACAAAACACTCAGACATTAAAAATAAATAAATACAACCTGTGAGATGCCTGTACAGCCGAAAGTCCTTGCAATGCAAGCCTGACCACCTGAGTTCAGTCCCTGTAACTCATCATGGAAGGAAAGAACTGAGTCCCTTGGCCTGTACCTGTGTGCTGTGCACTCTCACAAATATACATATAATAAAAATAAACCAATTAAAAGTCTAAAAAATGAACAAGGAACAGCTGTTTTCCGCATAGCAGGGAAGTTGCACATGTGGACTTATAGCATTTGAGGCAGTATGCACAAAACCTATTCAGACTCAAGCCTGACAAAATCCTATCATTGAGGAAGTAAATGGGCATAAACTACTACTCTAGCTGAGGAGCTGTTGACATTTAGTTAGGAGAGGAGAGGAAGACTTAAGTTTTCGGTAAGGGTATAACCCCTGGTAGGTTGACCACAAGATGTTCTACACCCAAGAGTTATTTGGGCAACACATACTGGAATAGATGGGAAAAAAAGAATTTGAAGTTGGATGGGAAGGGAGGTGAGAATAGATCTGAGAAGAGTTGGGGGAAGGGGGTGTGATCAAAATGTACTATATGAAGTTCTCAAAGAACTTTTTTTTTGGATCTATAGTCCCAGCTGGCCTAGAAATTGCTATGTAAACCAGGCTGGCCTTGAACTCACAGATACCCTCCTGCCTCTGCCTCCCAAGCATTGGGATTAAAGGTGTGTGCCACCATGTACAGCTAATAAAATGTTAAAAAAAAATAAATAAATAGAGGTGGCCTATAATCCCAAGTGCAGGTGAGACAGACAGAAGAGCTTGGGGTCTTGCTGGCCAGCCAGTAGGGCTGGATTGGTGAGATCCAAAAAGTAAGATGGAGAGTGATTGAGGAAGAAAGCCAGTGTCAGTCTGGTCTATATGTGCACCTGCACACATGTTCCTGCATACACTAGCCACACCATGTGCATACACAAACATTGGGGAAATACATTAGTGGAGAGTTTGCTAAATTATTGCACTAGTTCCCTTATGAATTGAGTTCCCCACTAATATGAATCTTTATTATTAGTGCTTGTTTCTTAAGAGTTGTTTGGGGGAGTATTTTAAGGATTTAAAGGGGATGGCTTCAGGGAGAGGAATGGATTTTATTGTTTGAAGAATTGAAACAGTTTTGTTTCAATCTCATTTTAGAATATTATGAATTTTCATGTAATTCATATTTTAAAAGTTAATTACTGGTTAATTGGTCTTAAGGCAACAGCATGTTCTTTGTTGCTTGTGAGAGCTTGATTAACAATCCTGTGATATTCTGAACTTCTGTGAACTACAGAAATGTAATAGCATAATGGGAGTGTTGTGGAAAGAAGCAGTTCAATATTTTAAGTCTCATAAAAATCTATTAAGAAGCATGCCTTTAATTCTAGCCCTTGGGAGGCAGAGACAGACAGATCTCTGAGATCAAGGCCAGCCTGGTCTACTTAATGAGTTCCAGACCAGCCAGGCTACAGAGTGAGACCTTGTCTCAAAAACAACAAAACAAAACCCACCATTGTGCTTAAAAGAGACTCTTGTAGAAGAAGGGTAATGGGCATGCTCTGATTATTCTATTAGGTCAGTATCACTACTTTGATTTGTGTGCATCTGTGTGTGTTAGGAGCTCTGAGGACAGCCTTTAGGAGTCAGCGTGCAGCCTAGCTTGCCTGAGAGCTTTTCGGCAATTCTGTCTCCACCTCCCATCTTGTCAGAGGAGCACTGGGATTACAGATGTGCATTATTCCATTGAGCTTAAGGTTGTTAGGCTTGTGTGGCAAGTGTTTTTGACCTGCTAAGCGTCAGTGTCTTTTAATTGTACTTGCCATGCAGTGGTGTGGATACATTGTGAGGCATCAGTTTCCTGTTCAATAGCACACGTTATGAAGTAGTTTTTTTCTTTTTGGTGTTTTTGAGACAGGGTCTCCCCTGTAGCCCCAGCTGTCCTGGAACTCACTGTGTGGACCAAGCTGGCCTTGAACTCACAGAGATCCGCCTGCCTCTGCCTCCTGAGTGCTGGGATTAAAGGTGTGTGCCACCATGCCCGGCCTATGAAGTTGTTTTTTAATATTATACGTATGACTGTATTGCCCGTATGCATGTAATTACGTTCAGCCATGTTGTGCAATGCCCGAGGAGGTCAGAAGGGGGCATCAGATCCCCTGGAACTGGAATTAGGACAGTTGCTAGCCAACATGTGGATGCTGGGAATTGAACCTGGGTCCTCTGCAAGAGCAGCCAGTGCTCGTTACCACAGAGCCATCACTTCAGCTCCAGTGAAGTATTTTTTGAAAATGCATTCATGCTTAACATCCTTGCTGGTATTTCCCCAGTATTAATTTCACACATGCTAAATTAATCATAATGATCTTAGTATGGGAATGAATTTCTGCCTGACATTTTAATGAAATAAAGAGATGGAAACAATGGTAAACATGAAATAGACTTTGAGGACTAAGATTTGTTAAAACACAAAATATTTGCTTCTTTCTTTGAGTAACTTGTGTGGAACATTTTTATGTGTTGTCAGTGTACTGCATTGGAGCAGAAACTGAAAAAATTGACTGAGGATTTAAGTTGTCAGCGGCAAAATGCAGAAAGTGCCAGATGTTCTCTGGAACAGAGAATCAAGGAGAAAGAAAAGGAGCTTCAAGAGGTAAGTGACGGAAGGTGGAGGAATTCCGAGAGCTCGTTTCTACAGTTTAGGAAATTCAGAGGGGACATTATAAGCACAGATCACTGTGTGTCCCCCATGTCTGTTTTTTTACACTTTTTCCATCTTTCACTTTTTAAAAAATACTTAATTTTTATATTTTTAGGTGTATGCGTGTATGCCCCGGGACTCTCCTCTCTCTGCCTTCTGAGTGTGAGAATTCTAGGTGGACATGTGCCTTCCCGCTTTTAAAGGGTTTTGGGAAGCCAAACTCTGGTGCACAGTTTTTCAGGGCAGTGTGTTATCTACTAAGCTAGCGTGTCCCCATGTTGTAGTGTTCTTCAGCTGAGTTGTGATTATTACAGTTCAGCTATTATTTGCTCTGTCCATCTTTTAACATAGTGATGACTGATGCGGACGGGGTGGAAATAGGTTAGCTACTGTGCAGTCAACTGGAGACTCCTTCATTTGCTTTCTTGAGACCTGAATTTGGTTATCAGGACCAGCCCTCAGGCTGATAGCATTTGGCATTTACTAGTTGTTCAGCATGGCTCCCTGTTGGCTTGTACTTTCCATCTAGCATTGCCTGCTGGATTTTTTGTGCTTGGTCCTAGAGTCTCCTTGTTAATGGTCATTTGATGTGCTATCTTTGCTTTGTAGGAGCTGTCCCGCCAGCATCGTTCTTTCCAAGCTCTGGATCAAGAGTGCACTCAGATGAAAGCCAAACTCACCCAGGAGTTACAGCAAGCCAAGAATACACTCAGTGTTCTTCAGGTGGAACTGGATAAAGTAGGGAGCTGAACTTTGTTTCCTCACAGTTGTGTGTGTGTGTTCTCCACCTCAGTTGACGTAGATTTTTAAGAAACTGATACTTAAAAAAACATACACATCATTAAAGTGCCACATAAATACTGTTTATTTCTTGAAAATTGTAACGTAAGGTTAAATGTGTTGATCTTCTCAAACGTTTATTGTTTCTTTATGGTGAAAGCTTTAGAAATCTTTTCTGAAAGCTCTTTGAACATTATTGTTATACACGGTGATCCTACTGTGCAGTAGCACACCAAATCTTCTTCTCTTGTCGCTGTGATTAGGGCCCATTAGCCGCCAACCTTCGCCTCCTCCTACTCTTCCTGGCTTCTGGTAACCACTGTTCTATTCTCATCAACTTTTTTTATTCCTCCTAGCAGTAGAGTCAGTCTACCTGCCTCCTTCATTCCAGTCTTCCTCTCTCCTTTCTTTCTTGTTAAATGTTCTTTACCCTCATTGATCAAAGCAGAGAATAAACAGAACTTCTGGCTCTCAGTTTTCTCATTCAAAGAAAGAGTAAGATGGATTGAGATTTCAGATCTGAATGTTTGCCAAGATCTGTTACTCTTGTAGTTAACAGGTTATGTGAACAGTGGGAGCTGTTCTAAGTAACTTCTGCCCCCAGAAATTAAAGCTCTGAAAGTTATCATCAGTTGATTTGACTCTAAAAATGATCTCACCCAGGTTTATGACCTTGCAAGCCATTTATTAAGACTCCTATTTTATGTCTCCAGCCTGGAAGTCTTTTCTGAACTGCTGGGTTGTGGGTGCGTACCTGGCATTCCATCCACATAGTTAGCAGCCATCTCCCATATAACATGTTGATAATTGAACTGCAGCTATTGTCTCTTCAATGTGTGCCTCCTTTAGTCTTGCCCTTCCCACTATATAGTAGTTCTATTCTCTATATGCTCAGGCCGACGCGCACAGGTTGTCTTCAGTTCTTTTGAGGTGTTTCAGACTAGACCATTAAAACTCCCAAATCTAGGGGTTGGAGAGATGGCTTAGCAGTTAAGAACACTGGCTGTTCTTGCAGAAGACCAGAGTTCGAATCCCAGTACCCACATGGCAGGTAACAACTGTCTGTAACTCCCAGGGGATCCGACAGTCTCTTCTGACCTCCGCAGGCATTGCACGACATGGGTGCACTTACCTACTTGTAGGCAATACACGTATACACATAAAATAAAAAAACAAAAAAACAAAAAAAACCCATCCTGAATCTAGACAAGCATGGTGGTGGTGGCATACACCTTTAATCCCAGCATTAGGGAAGGCAGAGGCAGGCAGAGCTCTGTGAGTTCAAGGCCAGCCTGATCTACGTAGTGAGTTCCAGGTCAGCTGGAGCTACAGGGAGACCTTATCTCAAAAAGACAAAAAAATAACCCAAATCTACCTTTGTTTATGCACGTTTGTGTATATTTATAATGTATATAAATGTATTCCTGTGTGAATGATAGATGATATAGTTAAACTTTCATGGTAAAATATAAAATCTGTATAGAACAAACGGTACAACTCAATAAATTGCAATAAGACATACTGTTTTGTAACCATTACCTGTCAGGAACTGTAGTCTTGTCATCTATCCCAGAAACCACCTTGTTTGCTCTACCTTCCCAACTAAAGAAAACCTTGACTTTTCTGTCCGTGTTTACACACCATGTTGAATATGACTCCTTCAACCATGTCCAGTACTATATCCTGATCTAGACTGCCATCCTCAATTGCTGTGCTAGCCTCCTGGCTACTCCCCCCACCTGTGCTTTTCCTTAACAGTCTGTAGCCAGCGTGAGCCTTCAGGTATAAGTAAGATCCTGTAGCTCCCCTGCTCAAAACCCTGTGGTTATCTCTGATCTCTTTCAGATCAAAGCCAGGTCTTGCAGAGGTGGCAGGACCTTAGGTGGTCTGCCCCTGCTTCCCTTCGGAGTTCATCCCCTCTCCCCTCACTTGCTTTGTTCCGGTCACGTGGCTTCTGGCCATTGGCTGGGTACAGTAAATACATGGCAAGCTTGGGCTTGGCTTTGCTGGGCCACTTCCCGGGTTGCTCTTTGCCAATGGCACAGAGGGTGTGTGCCTTCATTTCTTTGAATTGTTGTTGAATCTGTTTTCTATAGTTTGCCTACTTTTCTCCATAGTGCAAAACCCCTAACATAGAGTGTGGTGGTTTATCTATATATTTTATCATATGACTCTTCAGGAGTTCATTCACTGTCCCATCATAGCATGTCAGTACTAGATGTAGCTTAAAGTGACAGCATTTACAATACAGCAGCTACTTCTGTTCTTGACTTTTTCCCATTTTGCTGGAGAGAATGCTACATTTTAGAGTTTACCTCAGTATGGCAGGTATTCATCTATTGGTAAAGCTCTATTTATTTTTCAGTTAAGGAATTGCCACTTAATTGATGGCGGGGGGAAGCTTAAAGCTCTTAAATTCTAGTTGTCATTGAGTAGCATATGTTAATAGTCACATCTGAAATTCTCCCCCTGCTCAGGACAAAATGCTGTTGACACTTTGAGTATCCTTCAAGACCTTCAAAGAATTATTTTGCATTTTTTTTTCTTTTTAAGTTAAAAGTAAAATTTATGTGTATGATGTGTGTAAGGGCATCCATGTCATGCAGTGCAGAGGCCATAATAAGGTGTCAGATCTCCTGGAATTAGAATTAAGGACAGTTGTTAGCCACCGTGTGGGCTCTGGAAACTGAACCCGGGTCCTCTTTAAGAGCAGCCAGTGCTCTTAACTCCTGAGCCAATCTCTCTAGTCCATTTGCTTGTTTTTGAGACAGAGTCTCATGCAGGCAGAATAGGCCTTGAATTCCCAAGTCCCCTGACTTGCACTCCTGAGGGCTGGAATTATAGGCATGTGCTTGCCCTGCCTGGCTCTTCTAAGACCTTTAAAAAAGAAGAGTTACAAATGTATTATAATCAGAGCTTTTTGCTTTTAAGTAATAGGGACATTCTGTTGCTATTGTCTAAGCCTTGCTTTTCTGATATTTTGAAGTTTATTTAAACATTCCCCCACTGATATTAGGTTCTCAACATTTTCCTGTGTCCTGCAGCTGGGTTTGCAGTGTCACTGGGCATGTGTCCTAGGGATTTTTGGTGATATTTTTATGGGCAGATTTCTGGGTGTGAAAGTGATGGCTAGCATTTTCTAGATACACCAGTTTGCCCTTGCCCTACTGTGGAATTGGAGCTGTTGATTTTGCTTCAGCTGTAAGAAAGAACATGTTTCCTCTATCGTTGGTAATCAGTCAACTAAGAAATAAAACATTCATTTTGTTATTTGCATTCACAGATACCAGCGATTTCTTTCAGTACCCAATGTAGTATTTCTCCCAACTTTTAAAATTGAGTGATAGGCATTGTCTTACTGATAATATTTTTATTGTTTCATATTAAAGATACAGCCAGCCTTCTATCTGTATAGAATGTGTGTAACTATTTTGTGTGTGTGTGTGTGTGTATGTGTGTATAAAGGATAGAGTCTCATGTATCTCAGGCTAGCCTCAAACTTAAGATTGTTTTTAATTACGGGTATGCAATGGGTATTTGCATGAGTATGTGCATGTGAGTACAGGTGTTTGTGGAGGCCAGAGGTGTGGAATCCCCTGATTCTGAAATTATAGGCATTTGTGAGCTGCCCAAGGTGGGTGCTGGAATCTGAACGTGTCCCTCACAAGAATAGTCACAAGAATAGTATGGGCTCTTAACTGCTGAGTCATCTCTTCAGCCCCTGGCTTCTAACTCTTAATTATCCTGCCTCTACCTCCTGAGTAGGGGCTTAGAGGTGTGTGCTACCACACCACAACACATTGCTGAGGAGGATTCCTAGTACTTCATGCATGCTAGGCAAGCACTCTTTGAACTGATTAAATCTCCACCCCTACTGAAAATCTTTTTAAAGTAATTCTAGGACATTAGAAAGAACAAAACAAAAACTTGGATTGGCTGCAGGTGGAGCTTGCACCGAACCTGTGCGTCTGAAGAGACAGGTCCTCCCCTTGACAGTTGTCTAGCAGTCACTGTGAGCATCTCCTTGCCTCTCACCTCCTGCATTGTGCTCTGGTTAGGCCTGTGATGTACTGAACACATACTCTTCTCTCATTCCTAAACGATAAGTTTAACAGCTTCTCATGTATGCGCCTATCTTACATTGGATACTATAGGCCGTATAGAGAGGGTGCATAGTACGTAGGAGGATGTGCGTAGGTTATGGGGAAGCACAGTGCCACGGCATTCTATCCAGGGAGGATTTGTTGTCCTTGAAGTCCTGGACCAATCTCCTGTAGACAGGACATGTCTCTTATTGAATCTCAGCTTGTTGTCATTTGTTATTTTCCATTTCATTTAAGAACATAATTATTTACAGATTACAGATGATTATTTACAGACTTTTTTTTCTTTTGTTGTAGGTCACATCAGTAAAGCAACAATTAGAAAAAAATTTGGAAGAGTTTAAACAAAAGTTCAGCAGAATGGAACAAACTCTCCAGGCGAATCAGATCACAGAGAACGAGCTGAGGAGAAACAGTGAGGTAAGAGCAGGATGGCTGAGGACGGCCCAGCCTGTGTGGGATGAAGAACTCTTCCTAAAAATCATTTTGTTCAGAGAGAGAGAGAGAGAGAGAGAGGACACGCACACTCATGGCATGACACGCATGTTGAGGTCAGAGGGCAACTTGAGAGATTTGATTTCTCCTACCATTATATGATTCCCACCCTTATGTGGGTTCCCAGTGTCCAACTCAACATGCCAGGCTCGGTGGCAAGTGCTTTTACCCCACTGAGCAATCTCACCAGTCCTAAAAAGAGAATTTCTGTGTCATTTGTCATTGTATTGGTACCATGTATATTCTTTATTGTCCAGAAGTCAGCATATATGCTCTGTGCATAGAGTGTGTGCTTGTCTTTCTACCTTAGTTCTGATGTAATTACTCAGACATTTAACAACTATAAGAAAATACACAGATTATGGAGCTGGAAAGATGCATGGCTCAGCAGTTAAGAGCACTGGCTGCTCTTGCAGAGGACACAGGTTCAATTCCCAGTACCCACATGGCAGCTGACCACCTTCTGTAATTCCAGTTCCAGGGGAATTTGACACCCTTTCCTAACCTGTAGGCATTGCATGACACGGGTGCACTTACATACATGCAGGGAATACGTTCATACACATAAAATATATAACCAAGATCGATATAAAAGGATCAATTAAGGTTGTTTTAGACTGCCTGGGAAGTGGACCTGTAGAAAAAAGGAAGGACTTTTTCTGAATGCAAAGGAGATAAATGAAGTTAATGTATCATAGTAGTATTTAATGTCCAAACTTCTTCCCTCTCTCGTTTTCTTTTTTTGAGGTGATCTTACTAAGTTGTCCATGATGGCCACAAACTTAGGAGTATCTGAGGTAAACCTCAAACGTCTGATTCCCTTGCCCCTACATCCCAGGTGCTGGGGATTACAGGCCTGTGCCACCATGCACCATGTCTGGCTTGCTTTTGTTGTTTTGAGATATACTATTTTATATATAAAAAATACATATTTTTAAAATTTAATTTTTATGTAT